TGACAAAGAATACGGATTTAGCTCCTTTAACAATATTATAATTAACAAGTGATTGAAATTCCCATAAATGCCGATCAGTTTCTTAAAGTAGGCCATTGATACAGTTTTCAGTATGTAATTAAATCTAACTAGGGTTATTATGAATATGATCGTAAATAAACTACAATTATTTCATAGCTAAAAGTGATATCACCTCTTTAAATCTAAATTAGGTCCACCTGCATGTAAAGTACATGTACTGATAAAATAAACTGATGCTATAAACAGAATGCTGGGGGGATATTGAGGCTTTTCCATAAAAAACACATTATAAATAATATCATTAATTACATTAACCTTTTATGTATTAAGGCAAGGTTTTACCAAAAATTGCTTTTAAAGTCTGTGTTTGTTATTTTCATTTAATACACTCTAAAATGTACTTAAACTGATTATTTATCTAATTAAACATACATCATGCAAGAGCTAAATTAGCCTATTGCAGATCTTTCTCTGGGCCCTTTACATTATCTAGTTTTAAACTATTATAGTTTATCTAATCTCCCATAAATGTATCTTTTACATCTAATTAACCATGCATTATGCAAGAGCTAATTCTGCCTATTTCAGGTCTTTCTTTGGGCCTTATATGTTATATAAATTATTAATTAGATATTTATTAACATGACAAGACCATAATAAACTCTCGATGCCATCAGATGGCTCTGATTTTAAGTAGATTAGAATGGCCGAGAACCAATGCTAAGACTCGAATGTCAAGTACAGTGGTTACGATCAATGCATACTATTGCATACATCTTGTCAAAACTACAACCATTGTTAACTTCGCTTAAAATAAAGTAATTTGAATGAAATTTTCAACATATTTATTTTGCATTATCTATTTTTGAAGTATTAAAGCAAGAACGACCAGCTTGTTACCTATTTCTTACATAATGCCTCTTTAACAATCCCTCAAATGATAATCAGAGACATTAATATTTTATCTAATAACAAAATCAAGAAAAAGATAAATTTGTCTTCCATGTTCAGCATTTAATCTAATAAATGCTCATCTGGAATCCATCCTTGATATGTGAAAAAATACGAGTTTGTAATAATATTACCATGTTTTATGAATGACAGGAAGTAACAGGGTTATTTGCCAACTACTGAATATGGTAGTAAAATATCCAAATTTATTGTCATATCATGATATAATTGTTAGCTGACTGAGTGACTAGTATTAAGTGCAGGGGGACTGCACCACACACAAACAATTACACAAAACAAATTTACGGACAAGGCCCAATATGCAGGGAGTCTTGGATTCAATCCCGGAGTTGGTAGAGAAAGTTCCCTGGAATTACCAACGGGGTTTCCCCTTATCAGTAGGTGTAGGATGGCAGGCTTTGCAACAGCAGTGTCTAGTTGTTTCAAATGGGACAAAAAATACCAAGGTCCCGTGTACAAGAACTCTTGACAGTTGGAATTTGAAATAAAAGTAGGCTGTAGCACCGCTGTCTGGGCCAAATTTCTCTCATAGCACACTGTATGGCATACACCCGTCTTCATTAGTCCAGGTACATTAAAATAGTAAACATTTTTCACATGTAAGCTTATTCAAATTATCTGACCTGCACCAGCCAAACGGCTGTTATGACAGAAGTTGGCCAGTGGGAGGGTCAGAAACTTTATGCTCTCTTCATGCAGTGGGGATAATTTTGAAAACACAAAATATATTAAATCAACGAAAATTCTAATTAGCAAAAGGTTAATGTGTGTACAAAGTTTCATAAAGATATCTTGAACCCTTTATGTAAATTACTCCTGAAATAAAATGAGGACATTCGGCAAACCTCAGCAGATTCCGTTACCTTACATCTAGCCTCGGCTGTATGACGGTAAGTGATATGTACCTTTGCCTATACAATTGCGATGCGGCACCCGTTTACTTAATAGGAAAACTTGCCGCTTTTTAAAAAATTATCAAAATTGTGTCGTTTGAAGCGTGTGTAAAATTTTTAGTGTAAAGTTGTCATTGTTTAAAGAAAATCGGATAAGCTTGAAAGAAAAACAGCTTCAGACTTTGAAATATTTGCATGAAATATTCTTCAAAGGCGTTGTCTGGGAACTTGAAAGTAGTTCCAATGGCGGAATTCATCATACAGCTGAGGCTAGATGTAGGGCAGTGGAATCTGCTGAGGTCTGCCGAGTGCCCATTTCAATATCCTTCCCTTGACTGTGTTAGCTGTGGGATAATAAAGTAACCCCTACAATAGAATTCTTGACGGAACACCTGCATCCCTCATTAGAACATCATGTGAGAAAATCACTTATCATATTCAATGATAAAAAGTTCAGATTTTTTTGTTCAACACAAAAGCTCTGAGTCAAGGATAAATAATTGTTGTACAAATTGTTGTACTAAGTGAAGAAGATGTTCGGTTTCACTTTTCTCCAAGTGGGTAAACAAATTGAAAATGACATTATGACGTAATTCACAGCAGGATTTAGCTATGAATAACATACTTCCTTTTCTCGTTACATAAATCCTACCAGAAGTCCGGGCTGAATTAAATGGTTACTACTACTGAATCATTTTCGTACTGAATAAAATATATTTCCTGCTTAGGGGGGTTGGATGGCCGATTGGTTAGCACGTACGCACTGTATCATAAGGCCTGTCATTGAGTCAACTGGCGTGGTTTTGAATCCCCAGTTGTATGTGACAAGGAGTAGGGTCGCTTGTCCAACCTCGTGGGTTTTCTCTGGGTCCTCCCGTTTCCTCCCACTGCTAAAGACCCCAACGCGCAAGCGAATTATTGAAATAAAATAAAACCATGTTAGTCCCAACGAGTGGATGTTAAACTAGACAGCTGTCCTTGTCAGGCCCTCCATCCTGCATCACTGACAAGGGAGAACCACACCGGAAAATCTGGATGAACTTTCTCGGTCAATGCAGGGATCGAACACCCAACCTCTAGGCTAGCGAGCCAGCATCTTACCCACTTAGCCACCGTGATCCCCTTCCTGCTTACAACTAGACCAAAACTCTGGGTTGAATTACATGGGTGCTACTGATTCATTTTCGTTCTTGATGGGGGGGGGGGAATTGCTCCCATCATAGCAGATTAGTCAATCTCACCATGCGTGCCACTCACAATCTGTGGTGCGTTATACTGTACCCCATCTTTGGGAAGCCAAATATTTATTTAATTAATGTCAATATGCCTCATTACGTGTGGTTTAATGGTCGAGAGCGAGACATTAAGTAATATATTGAAACAACACAAGGGACGTGTTCCCGAGCTGTTGCTTCAATATATTACACAATGTCTTGCACAAGACCATTAAACCACTTAAAATACAGACACTATCCAGCATGTGCACTTTGAACAATGAAATACGTCACACGAGTCCAATATTTCAACTAGTATAAATAATGTACGGTTGGCACATTGCCCAACATTAAAGGATGACTTCACATCTGTAATTTAAATGTACATATTACAGTGCTTAATTTTGTACCATTATCTATTGTTTTTATATTGATAAGAAATGACTTTTTCAATTGTAAACTGTCTTATACATTTGTTTATCAGCTAGGCTTGGCTATACTGTCCGTCGTCGTGTCACCGTAAAATCATAAAATATATTTCGTACTTACAACCATAACTCCTTGTCTTTATGTTCAGTTTAACCCACGACAGATTAGTAACATTTCAGTAACTGAGATTGTTTATTCAGCTTTACACTTATGCCACACAACCATCAAAAGACTGTCAGGGAAGAACTGTCTTATACATATGTAAATATATAAAGCGGTGGACACACTAGCCGAATGATTCAGCAGCCGAAATTTACCTAGTGTGTCCACTGTCATTTCTATTCGGCCAAATGATTTGCCTGAATCAAACACGTTTGGTGTATTCGACCGAAGGATTCGCCTGAATGTAGAATTCATTAGCCAATCACCACTCATATCGAGAAGTCACATGATTGTTTGAAGACATGGTCGCTGCCATATTTAATCACGTGACATGAAAGGTGATGCAATCAACTAGTGAATGTATCCACACATTCGGCTGCAATTCGGCGCTGATTGACTCAGCCAAACGTTTTGCCTAGTGTGTCCACCATTTAACGTGCGCAATTTAGATCATAACATCTGTCATTGGGTCTTAGTGGTGTGGTTTCAATTCCAGGTCTGTATGTGTTAAAGAGTATGGTCGCCTGCCCAACAGCTGGTTTCCTCCCACTGCTAAAGACCTATACGTGCAAGGAAATTATTGAAATAAAATTTTAACAAGATGGGGCAAAACAACGTTACCATGCAATACCCCCATGACATGAACACAGAGGAAACGAGTTAAACATCTAGTCACCACAAACTAGATCATTTTGGGACTAACATATGTACAGAGCAGAGTTATCTTGTAGTTTTTGTTTTGTGTTTGGTGTGGTCCTCCTGCACTTGTACTATATGGTTCAATTTTATTTACATAATTTGCTAGCGGTATTTAGCAGTGGGAGGAAATCGAAGGTTCCGGAGAAAACCTACTCAGTGGGGCAGTCACCTCTTCTCCTTCCAACCTCGTGGGTTTTCTTCAAGCAAATTATTGAAATAAAATTGAACCATATGTTAGTCCCGAAGTGACCTAGTTTGTGTCAGGTGGACTCTCATAATAGACCTTATGATCTAAAGTAAATGCGTTGGACCACACGATTTTATTTACATAATTTGCTAGAGGTATTTAGCAGTGGGAGGAAATCAAAGATTCGAGAGAAAACCTACTCAATGGGGCAGCCACCTCCTCTCATTATCATATAGATCTTATGACCTAAAACACACATGTAAGACCACACAACCACATAACCCCACTTATAACTTAAACAACATATGACTATCATAACATACACAATATCAATATTAGTTATCAAAGGGATTTAAAACTACATGACTGTATTAATAGATACCTCTAAACTTAGAAAATAAATCAATAAGCAGAACGACTTACCTATACCTAGAAGACTAGCTATATCTTTATTACTATGGAAACCAGAACGACTCAAAATTTGCCCTGCAGCTTTGATTTCTCTTCTTAATGTATGACTGTGATAACTACCCTATTAAAGATATTACAAAGAACATAATAAAATGGATCAAAATACAAGACTGGAAATAAGCTATAATGTTAAAGATAATGCATTTACAAAGCATCTGAAATCCCACACAATATGCTGCCCATTGGCGCTATTACACCCACTGTAAAAACAAATATAACAAAACGGACATTCCACTGTAAGAGAAATAACATTACTTACATCAATCAAAATATGCTGCCCATTGGCGAAATTATATATTTTTTTTGTATAACACCCACATACTTTGGACATCAAAAAACACAGTAAAACAACACACAAACAAAATCCGCAACTTCAAGGATCTGCATTTTCTTTGATGAAAAAGTAAACTTAAAGGCGCTAAATCGATAATATTTGGGACCTAGAAATTGACAAAAATGGGTCGCAACGCATATAATAATGTAATATGAATGTATATAAATTGATTTACATTCAATCGTTTCTGTTTTTACTGTAATTTCTAATCAGTATTCGGCGAAATATGCCAGAAGTCTCATGTGAATGGCAATCTTAAGCGTCTGGTTTTTCCAGTCTATACCGATGGTATTTATTGCGCATGCTCTCCAGAAATGATATAGCGTCACCATTTAACGTGACTTGTGGAATATGTCTAGCCCTGTTCTTTGAGTCCCTTTTTCCAAATGGCACTGAAACGCATTATGGTACACGAATGGTAAAATGTTTATTTTGTCTTGAATATTGGATATCAGAAGCTCATCTTTTCCCTGTAAGATCACAAGACCAATGTTGATTTGAATTGACAAATAATTTGTGTTTTCAATGTCAAAGATTTTTAATGATATTGAGTAAGAGACTTAGCTACTTTAAAATTGAAGAAAACAAATAAGCTACAATATGGGCAAAATTGCAACTGTAAGTTCCATAATAATGCTAACTCATGTGGCCGATTTCATCTACATTGTTTCATGTTGTACAAATACTACTATTGCTTTCATGGGAGAGAGAGAGAGAGAGAAATGGGGTTTAATGTCCATTCGACACAAACTAGGTCATTTCGGGACTAACATATGGTTTAATTTTGATTTCAATATTTTGCTTGCGCGTAGGGGTCTTTAGTGGTGGGAGGAAACCGGAGGACCCAGAGAAAACCCATGAGGTTGCTTTCATGTATTTATACATGTAACTGACAATAATCATATAAATATTGTCATAAATTAGACCAAGTAATATATAAAAAAAATATATACATGTATTGTTTAGAAATCATGTTATTGTTGAGTGGGGGTGATTCAAATGAACTATTATTACTGTTAACGATCTCAAATTGATAAAATTGATGGAGATTTCACTCTTGTCATTTTGAGTCTAACATATAATGAATTTTTATTCTTATCTCATCTGTTCAAATAGCAGTTCCCTCATCAGTCGTGCAGGATAGAAGGGCTTGGTAAGAAAAAGCATCCCAAACGTACAGCGGCTATCAGGGCAAATTTATGCCTGACTTCATTAGCCTTATGGGAGCAGAAAAGTATGCCACTAAACTCCATTTCATTTCTTTCCATAGGGAGCCACGGTGGCTAAGTGGGTAAGATACTGGCTCGCTAGCCTATAGGTCCCAGTTGGAGCAGAACAGTAGGACGTTAAACCCCTTTTCATTTCATTTCTTTCCAAACAGAAGGATTTGTTTAATTCTGTCTGGGGATCACGTGGCTAAGTGGGTAAGACGCTGGCTCGCTAGCCTGGAGGTCAGGTGTTTGATCCCTGCATTGGCCGAGAAAGTTCATCCTAATTTTCCAGCGTGGTTTCCCCTTGTCAGTGATGCAGGACGAAGGGCCTGACAAGGACAGCTGTCTAGTCGTTCGGATGGGACGAAAAACTGAGGTCCCGTGTACACATTGGCGTGCACGTAAAAGATCACTTGGCAGTTGGAATTCGATATAAGAGTAGGCCGTAGCGTCGCTGCCCGGGCAAAATTTCCCTCATAGCACACTGTATGGCGTATGCCCGTCTTCATTAGCCCAGGTTAGGAGCAGAACAGTAGGACGTTAAACTCCATTTCATTTCATTTCATTTAATTCCGTCTGCCTATAAACTTGCGTAGAACTCTAGCTGTCATTTTCTTATTTGGATTACTCAGAGCCCAAGATGATTCAAGATGGGTTTGAAAATGGTCTTATGCATGCACTTTAGATCATAAGGTCTGTCATGTAATCAAATAGTGTGGTTTTTATCTCATACTTGCACATGACAAGGAGTAACCTGTTTCACAGAGGTATTGCGAAAGTGGCTTCATAATCTTAAACCTCTGTACATGCAACATTACATCACGAGGCATCAATGATTGTTTACATAACGTCAACTGGTCCAAGCCGAATGATGCCTTTTACCCATTTACACTAAGAAGGAACATTTTTTATCCAGATATACTTCAAAACACCTTTATTTATTTTCCTAATACTTCAAAAAAAAATTATTGAAATTGATTTGCAGAAACAAAAAAGTTAAAATTGCGAGATAATTAATCAGGACCGATGTCATTCCTATTGGTGATTGTAGCGGCCTATTGAATATTCACTGCTGATTAGTGTGGACATACTGGACAAGGAGAAGGGTCACCTGCCACACCACGTGGGTTTTCTCAGGGTCCTCCGGTTTCTTCCTACTGCTAAATAATTATGTTATGTTTTAGTCCCAAAATAACCTACTTTGTATTGAGTGGACATAAAACTCCATCCATCTTTCATCTCTTTAATTTTAAAGGTTGGGGGTCAAAGGTATTGTTGGGGTCAAAGTTTGCTACGAACCAAATAAATCACATGTACTTATTCTCTATAGTATTTTTATAGTATATTTACTCACTCGTGTTTATTCAAGGTAAATTGCTGGATTTATCTCGATAGATTATTAAATAATGATTCATTTCTATTTATAGCAATGACACAATTCTACAAGGATGTATGGGAATAACAATGATTTGTTAGATTGGTAAACATTAAAGTGATATTGCCATTTATTTCAGGTGTGTGGAATGAAATGTGGTTTTATTTTTCTGCACCAACTGGGATAATAAAGACAGGCATACACCATTCAGTGTGCTATGTTGGAAATTTTGCCAGGACAGCAACTACAACTTCCAAGGTTCTTTTACGTGCACGACAATGTGTACATGGAAACTTGTTTTTTTTGTTACATCTGAACAATTAAATGCTGTTCCTTCCGAGGCAACACTGCCATGGAGGAAACACAACTCCAAAATGAACTTAGGCTACTACTACTATTAATAAATTGAAACTATATGTAACCTTTATGTCCTGCTTCTGGTTTAATTACAAATCATAATTTATTACTGGCCACTATCTGAGTGTTATGTTAGGTTTATATAACTGGCTTGTACGTGAGAATGAGTAGGATCACCTGTCCAACCTTGTTGGTTTCTCTGGAAACTCTGGTTTCCTCTCACTCAGTGCTTTGGAGATGAGGAAAGGAGCTAAATACTCTGTTCTCCTGATTCAGTATTCAGATGTCATTCCAACCTCGTGGGTTTTCTCTGGGTCCTCCGGTTTCCTCCCACTGCTACTGAACCCTACGCGCCAGGAAATTATTGAAATAAAATTGAACCATATGTTAGTCCTGAAATGACCTAGTTTGTGTGTGTGTGTGTCTCTCTCTCTCCAGATATCAGGTACTAAATACCATTGTTATATTGATTAATTCACAGAATTATATAAATAGCACAAGGTCTGAAACCCATGCCAATCAATATCCAATAGTCTAATCATATTGATTAATCAATAATTCACCAAAAGCATTTGTTCTTAATACAATCTGTTGGTGACGTGGCTCAAGACTGGATTCATTCTGATTTTTTTTTTTGCTACTGCTTGACATTTCTAAAAGGTTAAAGGACCATGCCAATTCAGGTATTCATTCACGATAAATGATGGCATCAAGATAAATTTTTCAGATTTGAGTGAAACATTTATTTGATCAGTTATCATTTAGGAACTCTAGGACCTAGAACTGACCAGCTTTAATTAAACTGCAAATTTAACCAATAGGCCTTAATCAGTACACAATTACATGTACTTCACTTACCTAATTATGTTTACACTTTCAAACATAATACACATGTACAACAACCTCAAACACAAACTGCATCATGTACATTATAAATTAATTTTAATTTTTGGCCTTTTTTGCCGAGCGTGTAACAGATTTGTTGAAAAATTGAAGTGATTAATAGGTCTGACTGAACCCATAACTATAATTTCCCATGGTTTATACAATCAGCTTCTAAATGTTATTATTGTTTATTGAATTATCTCAAGACATTTGGTGTACATTACAATCAATTACTAAACTCAATACACAATCAACTTGCTACTTAAAATAAATAATTACATGTCCTTACATTATTTTATAGTCCTACTGACTTCTAATGTATGATTTCCTAAATATTATTATTGTTTTTTAAATTAACTGTTTAGGTGTTAATGTACATTAAGTAACTTAATCCCAATAAACAATCAGGGTATGTGTATTATATAATTACTATACACCTGATCTTTTAGAGGCATTTACAAATGAAGTAACTAGATAGTGCAATTAACTATAACACATACTTATGGAAGAACAATTACTGATTTATTTAGGCGACGTTTCGAAGAGTATTCTCTTAATGTTTTCAAACAAGTACAGTAACAAATGTGTAGGGCAATTATATATAGACAAGCAATAACAACAAATTAGAAACCATGCATGACAACAAGATCAAAGGCATGAAAACAACATGATCAAAGGCAAGGTGCATATGAAGGATTAGTGAGACCACTGATAATTGGTATAATTAACATTGGAGTTATTAATAAATAAATCAGTAAATGTTCTTCCATAAGTATGTGGTGTATTCCCACGACGGCGCAGTTACAGACCGTGACCAAAATTAAAATCCTTTACATGAAGGCGCCAATATCGACTTGTCGGCTTTTATTTGAAGAGAGGCATGTTGTTATTATTAGGACCCAATTAAAGGTGTTAAAGATTTTATGAATTTATGTTCACCGTGAATTTTATTCACCAAATGGCAACTAACGATTAAAATTATCCAAGTTTTTAATATGAATCTTGGCAACTAATGATGAATATCATCAAATCATCCAAGTAGTGTTCACCTATTCACTCACTCTCAATCAGTGTCATTTTTAAAGATGTATAAAATCCCGTTACACTATCCGAAATTCAGATAATACTCTACAATGGCAAACGCACAACTGGAATTCAGCCTTGTACCTACAAGTCGCGGAGGACGATATCTTTGCTCAGATGTTTATGTGTACCGTGAAAGTAAACAAAAAATAGATGCAACTACTGTTTGGAAATGCAGCACCAAGAATTGTAATACTACAGCGATAACATTGTTTTAAGTCATATGCCAAAAATGATGCTAAAATGTTGGTTAATTAGTTACATTGGGGATTATGAAAATGTAAATTCTTATCATAACAATCTATAACACCATTGTTACGTTTTTAATCCATTTTAATCCCTAGGAGGTGGTTTCCCACGAAGTCGGCAAAAACGACCTCCTTTAATCCATTACGGTCAATAACTGCGCCTTCGTGGGAATAAACCAAGTATGTGTTATTGTTCATTACTTTACACCTCTGTACATTATTTTATAATCTTACTTCCTTGTACAATCTGTTTGATCATCTTCTTAATGTATATAAATAACTAATATATTTATTTTTTTAACAATAGTCATTCAATAAATATCTACACATTATAAACATACAATATATAATAATAGGATCTGAAAACAAACCAGAGGTTACATGTATATAAATTCACTTTTATTTATATATTTATAAATCATAGTTAAAGGGTATACCTACCAAACGACATATATGTGGTTTAAAAACAATATTCCAGCTGCCATAACTTTTTGAGGATAATCCTTTTCTTAAAATTTCACAATTTTTACAGGTATGTAGTTTCTTTTCTAAAGAATTCACTATACATTTCTGTATTACAGAATTTGATAACAGGATCCTTAATGGTGATGGATTTGATAAACAAAAAAGTTTATTCATTTCCTATGATGATAAATGAAACTGAAAAGAGAAAAGAAATTTAATTCATTAGCAAGCTCCTGAAGATTAATTACCATTTATTAAATTTAAAGAGGTAGTACTTTCACCAGTGTAAGATCATTATAATATAATAGGCTTAGCTGATGTTATCCACACCCACATCATGATTAACTACAAAGTTCCAATTTGGAATTGGATTTATAAAAAGACTGGATCGCTTCGAAGAACGCAGAAAGAGACAAGAAACAAATAACAAAGAAAATACGAGGACTGGTATGTACTTTGGTATACGGCATTTAATAAGGTTTAGTTGTCAAGAATGATAAGGAATAAGACATTTACTCTAAATTTGGAGTTTCAATAACTAAATGAGTGTAGCCTGGGGCAATTCTGAAAATAATTTGAAATAAAATTAGACACATTGTGCTTTTTTAAATGTGCCTAGCTAATTTTTTTGATGCTAACAAGCACACTCCACAATAAATTATAAATTTTATGTACAAGTTTATTCGTAAAAAGAATAATCATATTTCAATATCAACCCACTCCAATCCCTCAATCCATTCAAAATTTATTTAACAGTATTGAATCCTCTGGTGACATTTATAAAATGTAGTTGATTTTCAAAGATTTGTATTGGGGTAGGGAGTAGCTCCAATTGATTTACCAGTAATACTACTATCTGTATTATAATCCTTGAGTGGCATTTAGTGATTGAGCACATTAAAAAAACACAACACAATTTATATGGAATACAATCACTGGTTTATACACATATAGCACAACGTTTCGACAAGTATTCTCTTACCGTTATCAAGTACAAAGGATAACGATAAGAGAATACTTGTCGAAACGTCGTGCTATATGTATATAAACCAGTGATTGTATTCCATATAAATTGTGTTGTGTTTTTTTTAACTATCTGCATCTGTACTTTGTGATCATAATAACTATTGAAATCAATCCTGTGTCTAATCAAGTTCTTTATATTTTCATAAAAAAAAAGTAGCAAAATACACTGTGCTGGATAGCAGAATTTTAAATACTCAGTTTTGTTGCAATTACTTTACACGTATTTCATAAGACAATTTAAATAAAATTGTTGTAAATTAAACACGATGATACAGCTTAATTAAATCATCTGAACTTTTCGCATAAAATGAGTTGAAATGAGATAGGGTTTAACGTTATACTTCTCTGCACAGACTGGACTAATCAAGATGGGCATATGCCATACAGTTTGCTTTGAGGGCAATTTGGTCCAAACAGCAGCGATACAGCCTACTCTTATTTCGTATTCCAACTGTCAACGGCTCTTTTAAGTGCAACCGAATGTGTACATGGGACCTTCGGATTTTTTTTCCCATCCGAATGACTAGACAGCTGTCCTTGTCAGCCCCTCTGTCCTTCACCAAATATAAATTTGAGTCTGAAGGGCCAATCCAGACAATTACATACTAATGATAACATTTACCAAGTGAGTGTCCATCTTTAAGATTCAATCAAGACGCCATCTTCCTAACAAAGAGACCAAGAAGGTGGGGGGGGGGGATTATTAAAAGTACACACTGTGTTTATTTAAATACATCAAAAGGTATTTCATAACTAGACACTAGGTACTTACACAGTATAAAATTTGGGAACATATGGCCAATTCCATATGCCAGCTTAAATTTAAGGTAACAAACTAAACCTCAGCTGTCGAGTATCGACCCCTTCTTGGTCCTGATGCTAGCTAAAACCTGATTATATTCTTCCTGTAATCTTATTATATGTGCATTTTAATACTCCATATACATGTATATTTATACTTATAATATATGTTTATATCATTTATGTATCTTGCTTTTGGAGCTGATTTATATAAGCCTTTGGCTTGTTTCGGTATTCTGTGAATAAAATATTGTTTAAAATTTTTTTTATAATTTCCAAGAAAGCATAACATAAAGATAAGCACATCTACTGCACTGTACAGTTCTGGGCCTGTAGTGATACAGGTGGTAGCACGACATTTCCGTCCCGCGACCTTTGGGACTCAAGTCACTCAACACGAACTACTTTTGGACTAGTCTGATGATGATTCAGACTTATAGGACGACTTTTCGGACTAGGCCTGGCAACATTTTGGTCTCGAGTTTCTGACTCGGATGAATAAATAAAAGACTGTTGAAAATGTGTGTGTAAATATCAATATAATAGCTGGGGTTTTTTTTGTTTTATGTCAGGTTGATGACAGTTTTTTAACAATAATAAAGAAATATAACATTGTTAGTTGTCTTTTATTATTGCTATAACCGCTAGTAAAAGATTGAAAACAAAAACAAAGAACCCAACATGTCTTTTGTTTTATTTAATAAAAGATTAACACTACTAGTTGTCTTTTGTTTTGTTTAATCAGCGACTATTGAACTTGACAATCAAATATTGTAGGAAATTTGTGTATATTTAATAATTCTTAGTTGCTTTCCTTTTATCAAATACTAAATGAGCTTGCTTGACCGATCACTAATATTCCAACAAAGAACCGTAAGGATTCTTTCAGATACTACAATAACATTGGGATTATCAGTTAATCAGCTTTAATTATCCCGCTTTGATCATTGTCATTTCTAATATTTTCCAAAAAGACTTTTCTTTGTACGCACTAATTATCGATTGGCAAACCTGCAGCTCCAGGTTATCGTTAAAAATTTCTAGGGACTTGTAAAAACAGTGCATGTGGTGTAAATATTTGCTTTTGCCTTTTCAAATAAATTTATCAGCATAGTATTCTTTTTTAAAAAACATATTACTTTTACGGGAAACAATGATTATCAAAGAACTAATGTTTTATCGTTTGATAGAACCTTTTAATAACCACATGTTTCATGTTAATATATATTCTTCCATGTTTTGAATTGGACAATTCCCAATAAATTCATCAACTACTTTTTAAATCAATTATACATACATGTGGTACAGATATAAAGAAATAAATCATTCTTTTTATAAACATTCAACACTGGAAATATTGCTGTTCCTTTAGTGTTCTATACAGTGCGTGATCCACAAATGCATGTGCTGTACTTGATGGCTAGAGGAAAATTTTGCTTGCAATTTATTTTTATAAAATCATTTTTGGCTTATTATAAATTGATTTGACAGTTATCTTCCACCATTCCTTTCAACATATTTCCAAGTCCGAAATGTGGCCTACCCTAGACAGAATTGTCACCTGTCTGAGTCCAAAATGTCAAGGCCTTATTTTTTTTTTAGTCCAAAAGGATGTAAGTCCAAAATGTTGTGGGATCAAAATGTCATAAAGTCATACAAGATAAAACTATATCCTCTAAAAATGAAAAATTGTCTTGGTCAGCTGCAATCAATAATTTAACATTGGAACTCCAAAGAAATCATGTTCATTTGCTAAATAAGGAGAATATAAAGAAATCCCTTGAATCAAAATTTAACTCCTTCTACCACATACCCTCTAACTCAAATAACAGCATATTACGTACATATTTCATCTCTAAAACTACTGTTACAAACTCTCCAGACTACATGAATTTAAAAACAGAGATCATAAGAAAATTATGACCACACTTACTCAGTACGCATCACTTAGAAATAGAGAGAGGCAGATACAAAAAAAGTTCCTGCTGATCAGCGTCTATGCAAATTTTGCGACTTAAATTTGATGAAAACGAGCAACAGTTTTTGCTAAACTGTAGCAAGTATGAAAAAATATGTAAAGCCCATTTATATCCAGCCTTCTCAGTAAATCCTGAGATTTCCTACAAATTTTTTAATCTCTTTAACCCACCAAAATCGATTGCCAAGGCAGTAGGCTTTATATGTGTTTTGGACTTTTGATAAGAGAGCTAAATAAAATTTGGTGGCAACTACATGTAACTGAAACCCCTTAGATATACATGTAGGCCCCCTATACTTTTTGTATGAATGTATATGTTGTCTATGTAATGTGTATTATTAAATGTAAATGACTATGTCTAACTAAGTGTATATGTATGCATGCTGTCCATAATCATAATGGATGTTTTGATGCAATTATTAACATCTTATCTTATCTTATCTACAGGTTTCACTACAGGTGTATTTAAGATAAGATGTTAAGGGATTAAACAAAATGAGTTTGCAAAATCATGAAATGGCATTAATTGCAGCTAAAACAAAACCCCTAGCTAACAAACATCAGATTATACGTTTTAGCTAGGAGTACGTTGTTTGAAAAGCCTGCTGAGCCTGTCACTGAGACAGACTGATAAATTGTAAGTGACACAATCACTGACACATTCACACAGTTACAGACAGGTTACGGGCAGTCACATAATATTATATACATGACATTACTCCATTGTTACTGTACATCATAAATAATCAATTAATTTCAGAACACAATCTATGCACGAAATTGAGATCTCCCGCCGTATTCAATTAAACAAAATATATATAAACCTTGTATGTAAGAATCCTATTTCGACGGGAATATTTTAACAATCCATAGAACCTTCACGAAAGTTAAATTTTCTTCATGGACGTCGCCATTTTGTTGTAAACACGGTATTAAGCCAATCAAGAGATGTGTTCCTTACGGAAAGGAAATAGATGATTTCGTGAAAGCGACCAATCACAAAATCGTTTCACCCCGCGTAAAGTCGAAAGAATACGTCCTTCGAAGGTGAGTACTCCTATTCAATCGTCAATATAACTGTTTCTAGTGAATGATAATCATAATACTTTATGTTATTAAAAAGCCAAATAGTTCCACTTTCAAATTATGCTATTTTTAACACTAATTGGGGTCAAAATGATGTTTAATGTTCCCGTGTGTTTGTTTACAATTTCGACATAACGCCATGCTGCTCGGAAAAAGGCTGGCAGCTAGCTTCTTTGTTTTCGTATTTTCTGGATATTTTCTCTCCATATTTTAATTTTTGGGTTTGGAATTGATGTTTATATTATATTGTCATGGCCAAACTGGCTTGCTTAATGTTCTATGATGGCTATTCTGACTGCTGGTGGGTATAATATGTTTTCCCGTCAATAAATTATCAGATTTATTTATTTGAACCGAACTGACACTGGACGTCAGTTTTCATGGCGGTCTTCCCCTGAGTTCAATGACATCATTCTAGTCGCATTCTTTGATATCTGTAACATAAAGGAACGACATAAAATCTGCATATTGTTGTTGACAATGTATTCTTGAATCAAAATACTATTATAAATTGCGGAAAAGAGTTTTATACATAATGGATAATAAGAGTAAAATTGACAATAATCCAAGTATAGATTCATGTGTGGAGGTGTCCTCTTCAGTGTTCAGTCTTGTTTGCACAAGACTTTCTCAATTCTCTGGTGTTGCTTGTTATACTGATGAAGCCAGCCATGATTTAGACTTGCCATTGTTTTAAATAACTATTGTTTATTTAGCATCTAATCCTTCTAATTCTTTGAAAATTTCACCACAGTTTCTTGCGAGTAATGCACAATCAATAATTTGGTTTGATCTATCATGACAAAACAATCAAATAAAGAGAAACGTAATACAATATAAGATGGTGAAAAATAGAAGTTGACAAATCTTTTGTTTGCTTGAAATTGCACAGACTCGGTAATTACGATTAGATTATTTCTATACATGTTCCAAGACCATTATTATATGAAATAGGTCTGGGATAAAACCTGAACATGTCAGCAAATTGGACAATTAAATGGCACAATGCCAATATATCCGTTGAATGATAAATAACTTTAATAATATTTAAGTGGGTTAATAACATAGCATTTGATTTATATTTGAGCTCCATAATGTAAATTTTAAAAAATACATGCAGAAATGGTTCTTTTTAAAATTGTATGTGAACAAGCATTTCTATAATTATGTGCTTAAAGACATGTCAATCAAGTGAATAATGTTAGATGCAGTCCTTACATTTACGCTAAATTCAAATTTACATATTAAATATTAACTTTCTTTAACTTATTTAAACATCATTAAGAATAAGCTTGCCTTAGTCTTCATGTACATGATCAGATGTCATTCAGATTTAATTTTATGACCTCGTGGACAATAATAACTTTGATAAATAAATAATTTCTTGACCTTTATTTGTTATTTTCTTCTATTTTGCAGATGCTGAGGATTAATTTAATGCTGTGTGCTAGACGTAAATCTAGTTATGAATTTGTGTATCTTTAATAGGAAGGATTATAAAATCTCTGCATGCCAGCTCTACGCTACGAAACATTGTGGCTGCCAGACATGTCAGAGAAAAAATCACCTCCAAGAAAGGTGAAATTGATATAATTTCTTAGTTTTGTTGTTCTCTGTGTAATTTGTGATTCTAGAATGTGGATTTATGTTGATCTGGAGTATTGTATTATCGATTAACCCCGGAGAGTAGCAGAGCTTTAGTTTTATCAATTCCCGGGATTAATACCTTTGTGTGTTTTAATTGAAAATATTGTGTGTTTAATTTGTAAATATTGTGAAAAACATGTGACCCTATCATCATGATACTTGTTGTTATTTTCTTTGCTTTTCTTTGTATGTTAGTGGGATGGGTTGAAAGTGGTAACTATGATTGTACATGAACAAAGATAAATATTTTAATTAAGAACACTTAAAACATGATATTATCTATGACGTGCATTTAGAAAATGTGGAAAAGGGTGGGTTTTAAGGGAAGAATGGGTGCACTTTTTCATTTTACGAAAAGAAAGTTTTAATATATTTACATGTAATAACATAACACATAAAACAGATTGACCTTATAGTACTTGTATTCACGACAAGAATATTTACTCACATCAGAAGATACAATAAATAAATGCAAACATGACACTTTGTTGTAAAAATAACAGGATTGTTTTATTTACATTATGACATGTTTAGTTCACAGGTTTTGAATAAGACCTACATTATAAATTCTATCATTAAACATACATTATGCAAGACTTAAATCTGCCTATTGCAGGTCTTTCTTTAGGCCTGAAATGTTTTCTAAATTATTAGACATTGATCATCTTATCCAGGCCATAATCAACTCTCGATGGCATTGGATTTCTCCAATATTAAATAGATTAGAACAATTCAGCCATATTTTGATTTAAGCTAAAAATGGAGGAGCAAGACTTAGCGTCGAACAACCAGTACGGTGGTTGAAATTATTGCACACGTCTTGTCAAACCTTCAAAGGCTAATATCTTCGCTCGCAATAGAGTAATTTGAATGAAATTTTCAAACTATTCATTTTACATTATCTATTTTCGAACTATTATAGCAAGAATCGCTAGCTCTTTATCTAAATCTTACTATATGTATCTTTAATATAAGCTTAAAGATGCATTATATAAGAGCTACATGTAAGTCTGCCTATTGCAGGTTGTTTTTCAGGCTTTAAATCTTATATACATGTAATTTATTATTTAGACACAAATTCACATGACAAGCCTAAATTATTTAGACACTAAATCATATAACAAGCCTAACATCAACTCTTCTAGAACATCGGATGACTATGATTTAAATGGATTTGAACACCCATGAGATTTGAAAATTTAACGATAAAATGGATAATCAAGACTTAGTCTTGGTTGTCCAGTACTGTTGCTACGATAATGAATGATCTAAGAGTACGCTACATCTTCAAATAGTCATGCATATAACTTTGTACAGAAAAAAGTAATTTGAATGAAATTTTCAGTACATGTATATTTATTATCTATTTTTGAACTACATGTACAATGTATTATGATAGCAAGAAAGGCCAGCTCTTTATCTAAATTTTGCATACTGCATCTTCAATGTATTAACATGTAAATGTAGGTAGATGCATAATTAAGATGGTACACAATACACCTACATGTATATATTTTACTTTCTTATATACTGGACTCTTATTAATAATGATAAATTGCCATATTCTGAAAAATTACATTAACAGTACTGCATGCAATTGTCTTATTTACACAATAGGCCTACATTTCTTATGATCTATATGTATACACGTAGATCCTGCACCGTTGAGGATTGATGTTTTTTAAAGTAAAATCATAAAAATTAATTCAAATTGGATATCAGATAAATCAATATTTTGATAAGGAAACATAACTGTTTATTTACGTAGACCTACATGTACTAAACCAAGCAAAACAAGATAGTTATTTTTTTGGCTCAAAATGTGTTTGTATCGATAAAAAAAATTTCAATCCCATGTCTATGATCATGTCCAGAATTGAACCTGGAACATGTTGACTCCGAAATGTGAGCATTAAGCTCCCAAACAAATCACATTACAAATGTATGTTTAAATGTAATTTCAATGTACTTGTAAATATAGGTCCATGTAGCCTAGTTGTGGTAGACATGATTTAACTGTAATTGACCGCTTGACTTTTATCAATTACAAGTATATTACACACTATATTCAGTGTACACACAAGTGTAACTAACGTGGGTGAGTTTTATCCTTAGCTTATCAATTTTCATCGTATCGCTGCACACAGCAAGCTATTTTTAATTTGATAGAACCACTCTACAGTACGGTTCAATAATAATTGATTGACAAAATAAGCTAACCATACTGAATTAAAAATTTGAATACATGCCAGACTACATGTATTATGTGAATTTACTTTTATTGTGTCGGATAAGCATTTTTTTTAACAAAAAGAAAATTTTGTTATATGTACGGACCGTACTGTAATGAATGCCATGTATAATGCATGTGGGTACTGATTCACATATCCATGAATTGTGTTTAACCATCAATAGACAGTTTTAGTCCATATCGAGATTGAAAATAACGGTAGTCTAAATTTAAAATCCGGGAATAAAGGGAAATTTTAGAATTTTGTGGTTTACAGGAACAAGGTCTGCATATATTTCGGAAATTATAATACAGCTACATGTACAAGTAAGAAAAAGCTGACAGTAGATCTTTTTATGTCAATTTGAAATTACATGTACATGTAGATACATATAGAAATCTTTTCGCCATATACCCATATTAATAATAAAGAAACTTTAATAAAATAGTGACCAAAAATACCCTTTTACTTTAAATTTAAAGTGGTAGGAGGGTGGAAGAAACCCTAGAATGTTGCTGTTAATAAAGCCTGGATCAAAGAAAACTCTAACAACAGATCATGTTAGGTTAATTTAGTTTGTATAAAATTAGATACGCTGTGTAAATGTAGAATCTCTTGTGCCTTATACAGTGTATTAATAATGTTAAGAAGACATGATAAATGATTAAGTGAAATTTCTGATATGCCATTAAAGAGACGGTAATAAATAGAATTTTCAATTTGAGAAGTTCAGTGTAAGATTGTATGGAGACTTGAGATATTGAATTTTGACGTTTGTACATGTACAGTACATGTTGTTTTATGATATGACTTTCCGATCACATTCATGTAGTTTTAATGAATGCTCTTTGAAAATGTATTATTCTAAGTACAGCCCCCAGTTTCACAAAGCGTCCTCAGACTTAAGTTAAGAATTTACTCAAAATTGTTTACCTTAGCTTAACTAAAATGTCGCCCTTTATAAAACTTCTGTTGTTTTAATGTATGCAATACATTAGTAAGAAACTACCAGTACATGTATGTGCAAATTTTTGTGTTTCTGGATCAAAAATATTTCTCCTAAACAGTGATTGAAAGTAGAGTAAATTCTTAAACCTGAGGATGCTTTGTGAAACCGGGGCCTTATCAATGCTAGGATGTACTAGTATAACAAGAATTAAGGTGAACTTGATTTCATGTAATTTCACTGTGAAAGCAATAAGGCGGCTTTAAAATATTTATCTAGGCCTAAATGATGTGCTTATCTCTGGTATAGCTGCATGCGCAATGTAGGCTACATGTATATACATGTACATACACTTTAGTTTATATTTAAATCTGATAAGAATTAAATATAAAAAAGCTGATTGTACATACATGTATGTACAAAAATAACATACATGCACACACGTACATGTAGGCGTAAATTAACAAATTACATTTCACATACATAGACACATGGTAGTACACAGATAGAATTCATACATTCATCATATCGATAAAGTTACATGTAAGCCTATTACATTTACTATATATGTAGGTATCCTACTCTTGTTGAATGTTTAGGAGAAGAAAAACAAATACATTAGTGTGGGTTAGTAACCTTAGAAACATTCATAGTTAGACATTGTAGATTGACAGCTGACATGGCTTGGTTCTAAGATTACATTTGTGGCCAGGACAGCCACTGATAATTAGTTCTATGTGATAATTGGTAGATTGTCATACATGTATGGCTTATTATAGTGATCAGTATGTACATGTCCAGATAAAAATAATTTAGTTAGAGACTTAAATTACCATTATAGCAAGGTGCCAACAGAAACAGAGCTTCTATATTATTCATGTAAACATTGCTGGAATTTGTTTTCAAATGTCTTAGAGTCCTGTTCACGTGTAGCGAAAAAGAAAATGAAAACAGGTTGCATGTGGCGATGCAAAAAGAAATTTAGATCCAAAAAAGCCGCTGATCGCCATTCGAGGGATTCTTAATCACTTGTGAACTCTACAATATTTTGAAAGTCTAATCTCCAAAGGAAATACACATATATTAGTTTTAAAAAAATGGTTCAATTCCATTTAATACATGTACCCGGTATGTTTTTTTACAACATTCGGCTTTCTCTGCTGATGATATAAACAAGCCAGTGCCACCTACATGTATATAAGTGCTGGGTAAAATCTTTTGACGAGCCTCTTTTTAATCTAATTGAATTCAAACTAGGAGATTACATGTGTACATGTATATTCCAATAATTCGGTTTTGTTTTCTTAATTGATGATTAAATAATCACTTGGAATGGATTAAGCGGTGAAAAATTAGATATTGTCAGAAAAACACAAAATAATAATCAGTGGCTTTTAAAAAACAAAACAATTATGGCATTTTTGGATAAAAATAATATGACTATGAAAGATTCATACATGTAATGCTGGGTCCAGTACTATAAATGTACATTGGTTCTGTTAACAGTATTGTAATTTGTACCATACTGGAATTATTTATTATACTGTATACCTATATGTATATTGGATGGATTTATATGTCTGTAATTATGGTCTTCTTGACTTCCTGTCTCTTTGCTCTTCACCACTCCACAGTTAACCGCAGACACTTTTCATCAGAACAAAATATTGACATTAACCTAACTAAACTTGTATATTCCACAAAATATTGTGAATAGAAAAGTGCTAGGCTACAAAATATACAAATTTAATTGG